AATAATAATAATAATAATAATAATAATAATAATAATAATAATAATAATGGTGAAGATCTCGTGGCGAATCGAAGTAAGAAGAGGAAATCGTTGCGCAACTCGAGCCACTTGGAAGAATCGAGATCTCGGCATTGCTCGCTCGCAATTATCTCGCGCAAAGTGTCTCCGAGTATGGCAAATATGGCAAACGTTTGCGGTATATTCGTGCACACGCGATATATATATATATATATATGCATTCGTCATTTTCCAGCTCGCAATAGAGCCGAACTCGACGCGTTTCCTCTGCCTGATCATCGCGGACAAATTCGATACTCGGTCGACTCGCGTTGTCGAATGTAAATATAAATTCGGTGCAGAAGACAGAGAGACAGAGAGAGAGAGAGAAAGAGAGAGAGAGAGAAGAACAACACAAAAAGAATTCGACGATTCGACGAAAACCGTGGCGAAAAGAAAAAAACGACGACGGCTCGGGTTTCGTCTCGAAACGGATCGGCCATTCTCAAGCTTCGCGATCCCACTTTCAGAGACTTTCTCGCTACGCGCTGCTCGTACTCGCGCAGGAAAGTGGAAGATGAAGCCGATACGCTGGCCGATCGTCGTCGTCGTATCATCACGATGGTTTGCACGGTGTTTTGCATATCGCGAGGCGTGTGTGTGTGTGTGTGTGTGCGCGACGTACTCGAACGTATCTATTCTTTTCACCCGTGCATCGCGTGTACGGTGATAGCTTCTAATCTAAAAACTCGAGAAACGACGCGGTTTTTCGTAGATTACGCTCGTTACCGCTCGTTATTGCACATACATAAATACGATAAAGAAGGGAGAAATACTCGCGCGATTTCCGCGTGACAATAAACGTGGAAACGAACGAATTCGATCCCGTTACGACGTCGATGCGACGCGAGATACATAAGATGTGGACGATCGACGTGGAACGATTAAACGCGGCGCGAACGCATGGCGGGACGAGTCAAGGTCGAGATTAATTATATATATGTATATATATATATGTGAATATATATATATATATATTGCGGTACGAATCGAGACCGTTTATAAATTAAGATCGTATTTACAGGCGAGCGAGAGGATCGCTCGGAACCTCGATCGAGCATGAGAGAGAGAGAGAGAGAGAGGGAAATTATTCGCTACTCTGTCCGAGCGAGAGAGGAAACGCGGCGAGCGATGAGCGGACGGAGTCGGATTTCGGGCGAAGCGCGAGGGAGCCGCGCTCGATTCGGAACGGCGCGGAATTTGTCCGAATCCGTCGATCTGTTCGTAGAATCGTAGATCGCGGATCACACGTACACCTCTCCCCTTTTACTGTTCGAAACCGGGGGCGTGGCCGATATCACGGTGGTCGCCGCCGCGCTCGTCGCCAACCCACCCGAGAGGGACGCGTTCGTACACGACACGCTGCTGATCTTCCTCGAGGCGTCCTGCCCGATCGCCTGCCGATGGCCCGGCGACGGTCTGCACGGATCGTGCCCGATGCTGTTGGTCCTCGGCCTGGCCTCGGCCCCCCTCGGGAGGAGGGCGCGCGCCACCAGGCCGTCCACCACGTTGGGCGGCTCGACGTGGCCGCTCGAAACCGAGGCGGCCCGGTTCTCCCTCGGCTGAAGGCCCGGCGACTGCGGCAGCGACATGCTCCTGTCCTCCCTGCACTGGACCAGGGGCGGGCCCGGCAACGAGGCGGATCGCCTGCCACGCGGGTCCACCTTGGCCGCGTCTTGCGCGGTCGCCACCACGTAGCTCAGCTTCTCCGGGTTCATCAGGATGGGGGAGCGGTCGTTGTAACCGTCGAAGGTTGGCGAGCTGCCGTTGCTGCCCGCCTGGCTCCCGCTCTCCCCGATCAGGGGCGTGCTTCTGTCTTGGCTCATCAACGGCGTGCACCGTTCCTCGTGGCCGGTGATGCTGCCGCTCCTGCTGCTCCCGCTCCCCGACCCCTCCTCCTCGCTGCTGTTCACCTCGGTCAGGGTGGCCTGGTGGGACGGCGCGTTGGCTTGGTTCGTCGACTTGATCATGGACGCGGACGTGGTGGTGACCAGGCCCAGTTGCGTCAGTTGGGACATGGTGACCGGGGTGAGGGTGACGGGGGCGACGAGGCCGGCGCTCGTCAACGTCGGGGAGAGCACCGCCTGCGCCAGCGCCGCCGCACCCGACTTCCCCGTGACCGGGGTCCCCTCCGCCTCTTGTATGGGGGAGAGCACCACCTGGACCACGGGCAGATCGGTCGGGTAATGACCGTTGGCCGGTATCACCCCGACCACGCCCGCTCCGATGTTGGCCGCGTTGGTCGCCGACAGCGCCAATCTCTGCTCCCGATCCACCACCTCCTTCGTCACGTCCGGCGTCGGTATGCGGGGTCGGTTCTTCAGCGAGACCGGCACCGTGTTCAGCTTCGTCATCGTACCTGGGGAACGGAGGAACAAGAATCAGCGATGCTCGAATTTTTTTTTTTTTTTTTTTGATCGGAGAGATCGGCAATACGGATGGACCGGAAGTCGGCCTGGTCTCGTCCAACGCGTCGTCGCGAGCAACGGCGAGGAGAAAGAGGCGCAAGGTCTCAGGAAAGTTTTTTTTTTTTCGATAATTCGCAATTGCGGAAATTGTTCCGATTACACAAGGTTACGCGTTGCGTAATCGCGCGCATGCACGCGCGATCGAGTGGGGAACGTTCTCGAGACTTTCGTCGAAAGTTTTTTTTTTTTTTTTTCCTTTTTTTTTTTCGCGACACTGATTGGAACGCGGCTAAGCTATTCCAAGCTTAGGAAATATCCGTTATCGATTTCGATATCCGTTAACGCGATCGTTTTATTCCTCTGTTTTTTTTTCTTTTTTCTTTTTCTTTTTCTTCTTTTTTTTTTTTTTCTATTCCACGCTCTCGATAATTCTTTCGATCGAGGACGCATCGAAGAATTTTGTTTTTNTTTTTTTTTTTTTTTTTTTTTGTTTTCCGTTTCTTTCGAACGATTTCACGGAGAATAGCGTGGAATTAGCTCGAACAATCCACCGATAGTAAACGTTAATTCATTCGAGTTACAGATCCTGTTAACACTCGTACGTACGAGTGTTACGTAAGATTGCATCATTACCGTTTAAATAGCATCGAAATCGATCATCGATCGTCGTTACAATGAACGTTATTTCAAAACTGAACTTTTGTTGATCGTACGATCGCGAATAATCGCGCTTTAATCGCGTTCACCCAGAAATTTCCTATATCTTTTTCTTTTTTCTTTTTTTTTTTTTTTTTTTTCTCATTCGATTTATATTCATCATCTCATCGAACCAAGGGGAGGGAACACTTGCCTTGTCGACCCATTCTTTGACTTCGAATGCTTTTCCTCCCTACCAGCCGATCGTACAACGACATCTTGAGATTTGGATTGTTGGTCTGGGGTAAACCCCCGGTTTCGGGGCTGCTGTAAACGCTGTTGTGACGATTTCTAGAGAAGAAACCACCGCCGCTGCTGTACGTGGTCGAGGAGCTGCGAACGGAGCCCATCCTGGTGATTTGTCTTTGCAGCCAATTTTTCCTTCGCTCGACCAACGGTGTATCGACGCTCTCCTACGAAGGGGAGGGAAAAGATAATAACAATGATAACAATGATTACGCTGACGACGAAACGGTTTCGTCCAAATTTTTCGACTTTCCTCGAAAGGGAGAAAGAGGGAGAAGAAAAATCGGGTGAGGCGCGTCAATGTCCGGGAAGAAGGGAAACGATCGAGGGTTTCGAGATGACGCGCACTTACGTAATCGGCGTACATGTCGTCCTGGTGGGTCTTGCGATGCTGAACGTGATTGTGAATCTGTGTGCCCAGCATCACGTTCGCGTACAGTGCATCGCTGTCTTTCACCTTGTAATGCTCCGCGGAACCCTTTGGCTCCTCCCTTCGATACTGCTCGCTCGCCACCGTGTACGGTAGATCTTTGGGCACCACCTCGTCCCAATATTGATCTTTCAACAGTTCCGGATGCTCCTCGTGCATTTCGTCCACGATCATGTACCCGGCCTGTTAACGAGAGGAAGAAGAAAAGAATAATAAACGAGTATCGATCTTGCGATTTTCGAATTTCGATTTCACTCTTTCACGTTTTTCAGAGACAGAGAGAGAGAGAGAGAGAGAGATAATCTGTTGGAAAAAGCGGTATATACCTTGATGTGGCGATCTATCAGCCAGTTTAGCTCGATATCATCGTCGTCCTCGCCGAAAGGATTGATCAATACCTCGGCGACTTTCAACCATCCCACGTAAAAGCAGAACTGAAACGAAAACGGAAAACGGTAGAGGAACGTCGCGTTTCCAACATAGTGTCCAACAGTGTGAAATATCGTTTAAAGCTCGTCGTATGATACGTAACGAATATGCAATACGATCTCCGTCCACTTTTTCGTCGATCGATCAATTTAACCGTTCAACCGATCGAGATTAAAAGCGACGAGAGTGAAAAATAAAGTTTTTCTTTTTTTTTTTACTTTAGGCTTGGAGACGTTCGAAACGAAAATCGATTGACCGCGGGATACGGGAAAAAACGATATTTCATACGTTTATATTACGAGTGTATTTTTCTCTTTTTTTTTTTTCCTTTTTTACCTGCAAAGCCGTGAAAAATGGGAAATACATGTCAGGTTCCTCGTATTTGCCGCCTCCGACGTCAGTTCGCTCGATAAATTGTCTGCCGAGCAAGGCGGAGAAGAAATACGCGTACAACGATAGCGTGACCACCTAAAAAAAACGCAAATAAACGACGATCAAACTCGGCCGATCGTAACCGTTGAATGCCGTGACCCTAAAAACCACGTTATGTCGACGACTCTCGTAATTGGCAAAATAAAATTGTCATTAATTTCGCGATACAAAGAGGAGAATAAAAAATATAAACGACTTTCCATTACGATTCGTTAATTAAATTTACTCGGTACGAGATTGGACAAGTAAATTAAACGACAGAAATTTATAGACAAGCATCGCTTGGTTGCATCACTTTGTTCGGTTCTCGGAACGTGTACACGCTCGTGTGTACACTTTCTGCGTACCGAGGAGAGGAACACGGATAAAACCGATCGACGAGCGAGAAACGGCGTTCCTTCGCATCGCTATAAATATCGCTTGTTTCAGAGCTACTTTCTTCCATTATTTTCGCAGTTTTATGAAACTCTACGCTCGATGAGAATTACACATTGTTCGCGCGGACAACGCCAACAGCCAAGGTATTTAACGATGATCGTAAAGAAAATATCACGGAACGTTCCCGAGTACGCAGAAAAATGATCGGGCGCGATGACTGTGGAACGGATCATCGCCTGCTGAAACAAAGAGGTGAAAACGTTCCCTTTGTTCCGTAAACTGTTAACCATCCGTGCGTAATTTTAAATCCAGATCCGTAACGTTTTCCCTATACTTTTTCTCTCTCTCCAAAACTACGTAATTGTACGCGTGCACGTATACGAAACGAACAGGTTCGAACGAAAGCGTATCAAGGTTATCAAGAGCGCGCTACCTTTCTCATCGAAGGCCACCAGGAAACGTTTACGGTTTATGCAAAGTCTCCTTACCGCTTGATAATACCAATAAGAAGAAGAAGAAGAAGAAGAAGAAGAAGAAGAAAAAGCGATCGACGTTGTATCTTTACGCTTCGATCGATCTCCGAGGAAGAGAATTATTTCCTCCGTATCGATGACACGAGATTATCACGTCCTTGACCGTGCAGCCGCGCTTTCTTGGATCGCGCGCCACCGCGTGTGGAAATATTTCAACCGTGGCCCATCCAATACGAGATCTCGGTGGAACTCTTCTCTCTAGAATTTTTCTTTTTTTTTTTTTTTTTCAAATTTTCGATTCGGCCAACACCGAGAAAGAGACGCAAAGAGCGGTTCCGTTTCGACACTGAACGAAAACGCTCGGGACAAAAAAATAATTACCGACCGAGTCTCTTTCTCTTCCTGAACGATCTCCTCCTCCCCCTCCTCGTTATTTTCGCTAATTCGAAGCAATCCCACCGAGCGTTTATCTCCGCGTAATGAAACGTCTCCTCCGGAATTAGGGAATTACCGTGTTGTTCGATGACACGAATCGGCGCCGCGTTTCCCTCGCCTCGCGATCGATCGATAAACTAACGCCAAATTATCCATCGAGCTTCATTACCTACGCATACGTAAATATACGAGAAAAGAAACGAGATCTATTTAACCGTCAATTAAGGATGGGCGTTCGATAATAATCTCGCAGAAGAGAGAATTTCTTCGACGACTTTTGCTCGACGACGTTAATCGCTGTATCAATTTATTACGTTATCCTTTGTAATATCCCGCGCAGATGACGCGATCTTGCTCGACGCGGACGAGTGTTTTTTTTTTTTTTNTTTTTTTTTTTTTTTCTTCTTCTTTTTTTCCCCCCCTCTCCCCCTTCTTTTCGCCGCGTAATCTCGACCGTGACTGACTCGAAGCCGCTCCAAGTCGCGGTTTTCTCGCGATTCGAACGTTTATTATTAGCCGCGCCATTCTTTTCGAGAATTCCTTCGGTGTCCAATAATTTATCGAGACTGGACAAAGATCGTGTTCCAAGCATCGGTCACGTACAACCGAGATTACGTGGCGAATAGCTGTTTAATACCGCGAAAATGATGGCGTCCGCGGCCGACAATTAGGGACGTTAGCTGATGAGCAATTAAACGTTGCACAATGCATACGTGCCGGCTAATTGCGAATGCGAAACATCTTTCCAAGAATGGATCCATTTTGTTGTTGCGCCGCGACGAATCGAGTCCTTCGAACTGAATAAACAGGCGCAGGCACGTCGGGCGGTCTGAGGTGGAAGAATCGTGGCCGGCTCGCAACGCTATTTTTCCAACCAGGGCGTTCGATCTCTGGGACGACGAGTTGCCAGGCAAACGATGGATTTACGCGTGGAGGAGCGTTTCGATCGATGATATCGGCGCGTTGCAACGAGGTGACGTACTTTCTAACGATCGGGGCTGGCTCGGGGCTGGTTGGCTGGCTGGCTGGCTGGCTGGCTGGCTCGTTAACTCCGAACTGCCCATGGAAACTGCTCAACCGTGGTCAAATCGAAATACACCGTTCGAAGAAACGGCCGTAACGTTCCCTTAACGCCGAACGTGTCGAAGCGCGATTGTTCGTACTCTCGCGTGAAGATAAGCGTGGAACGAACGGTTGGAAGAGTCGGAGAGATACGGGAGAGATTGTCCATTGGAGAAAAAGTTTAGATTAGAGGGGAGAGGAAACGTGAAACGTTATTGTAAAGCTAACAACGGAATTAAGAGTTACGCAATTCCGTACAAGAGTACGCTGTCAACAGTATCAACGGGAGAGAGGCGGGAGGCGGTAACGACGAGAATAGGCTCATAGGATGAAGATGTTCGTTTAAAACACTCGGTGTTTCTCAATGACGATAAACGCCGTCATCGCAATTACCCGGCTTCTTAACGATATCTCTCAACGAGATTCGAAACGGAATGATCCAATCTTGACTTTGATCCTCGTGGACAGGAAACACTTTTCATAACTCTATTGTTATTCAATTAACGCCGAATACGTATATTTATACACGCGTACGAATATCGGTTTAGAAAATACTCGCTTTAGAAAGATTAGATCTATCCGTGTTCGTGTCGGAACGGAACGTTATTACACGTTGATATAACGTGGATTAACTGGGCGTTGATTCGCCAATATTCCAATATCGCGATACTTACCTGCGTGTAGACGAGAGGGACGCAAACGGTGTCGTAACCGATGAGCGCGCCAAGCCTCTTCCGGATGTCGCTCAACTCGACTAGAAGGGTTTGCACTACTTGGTCGCTGGTTATCAAGGCTTCCCTCCTCGCCCTGTTTATGATATTGGTCGCCCAGACGAGCGGCATCCAATACTTGGACATCGCGGCCTTCTTGTTCATCATTTCGAAGATCTTCTTCTCGGATTCCATCATCAGACCTGGAAACAGCGGGCGAAACGTACGCTCATTTTCACTCTATTAAAACTTTCGAGCGCGAAAACGAAACTGTATCGAGGTAGAAAAAGAAATATCTGCCGCGAACTTTCACCGAACGTGCGAGACGCACGAAATGTCGCTCGACCCGATAAATCCTACGAGTTTACGAGTTTACCTTTTCTCATACACCATATCCATATCCATTTAACACATCCCTCGCCGATCATTGTATCCATGTATAATCCGTTCGCTCGTTTGCACGAAACTTTTGCAAACTCGTCGATCCGCGTCGGTTGCTACGCGCATCGTTCTTTAATTATATATTCCGCGTTTCCACGAATATACTTATATACGTTACGATCCTTGTTTTATCCAACTTTGACAGAATCACGCGAATCACGATGTAACGTAACGAATAAGGAGGAGGATTGTATCGTTTATGTAATTACCCTCGAATCCGTAATCCGGACGTTTAGGAGGAAAATTTTGGAAGAGATTGTTGGCGGCGATAATCTCGAGCGAAAGAACCCGAAAGAAAGGGCTTTGTCAACGTGATCGGAGGAGTAAAACGATTATATAATTTCTCGTGTGGCTGGTTCACACGTGACTCGCGTTCGTGTAAACACGAAACACGTGGAGAAGGATGCACATTGCAAAAAGCGCGATCGAGAATACGCTATTAGTCAGCCGATAGACGAGCGCGTCGAACAACGAAGCGGCGCAAAATGTAAGGCCATTGATTTCCGAACGAGAAGCAAACATCGAGGCGAGGAATGCCGAGTCGCCGGTTTCCGTTCACGATTCCCGTAAACGCATTCGTTTGTTTATTATGTAACCTATGCTCGATATTTCTAGAACGAAGATAACGATCGTGGCTACAATTAGCGGGAAACGCTTACACGAACGAACTCGACCAAATTTTCTTCAACGATTTTCTTTCGACGAGAGACGGATAAGATAACGATAAATTCCACCTATGCGCTTACACCGATTGCCAACAATTGTAACTGTTCCCTTCGACGATACCTGCGTATTCCCGCGTATCGAAACGTATTACGAAACGAAATCTGCGAAATCGAGAGATCGGTTCAAAGTACACCGCGCGTCTAATATCTGTATTGTAATTAGCGAGTGACCTCGAAATCGATATGCCATTTTAACGCCATACATGCAATAACAAATAATAATGAAAGAGAGAGAGAGAGAAATAGCGAGAAAACATCTTTCATAAATAACAGTCGATTTCACAAACTGTTACTTTTCCCTCTACAAGAATAATATTCGCTTGCGCGCATACATGGCCGCGAAAGCAAAGCTACGCGTTTGATTTTCAAACACGATGCACTTTTATTTAAGATCGCGCGGAAAAGCGTATGGAAAAAATCTCGTACAACAGCGTGGACGGACAGCCATCGGGAAGGACAATCGACGCGACGTTTTCGTATTTCACGGATGCAACGCGTTCCCGTTCCAGATTCTCTCCGAACGGTGGACGCTTCGACGATCGTCCTCGGTCGCGAAAAAAAGAAGAAAAAAAGAAGATAAAAAAGGAAGAAAAACGATGTTAAATGTCGGGGCGATCGCAGCGAGCATCGTAACTACGCTCGATCGGTATCCGATCGGATAACGGGAACGCGGTAATTTCTCTCGAGGGGGGAATCTTTTTATTGTTAGACCAGAAACGAGTGCGTTCGGTATCGAGAGGATCGTGTAATCCGTATAACTAGGAATGGAAAAAACGCGACGCCATCCTCCTCTCGTGAGCACGGTTGCGTGGACTCGAAGCGTCCGATGGATGCTTACTTGGATCAAGCGGCGAAGGAAGTTTCGGACGAAGCGAGCTCGATTAGCGAAAAGCGAAGCGAGCCGAGTCGAAATCGGGAACGGACCGTTGTCGCGGGCGGGGAGGAGGGAGGGTCGACTCGATCGATACGCGATCGCTTCCTTTATTCGCCGTGCGCGACCTTGACGCGATCGCACGGCTTCTGTAGCGTGATCGAGCCGGCCAATTTACAATCGAGAGAGTCGCGAGCGATAACTCATCGTGTGATTCATGCCCGAGCCGCGAATATGGCGCTGCAAACGTATCCCAAGTACCGAAACCGAACGTTTATATTTAATCCATCGGTTTTGCGATCATTCGCGACAATTTCGCTCGATTCCCGCAATAATACTCGAGCATTTTTAATTTTACCGTTACAACGCGCCTTTTCTGCCTTTTCTTACGCTAGAACTATAATGGAAGAGAAATCGCATTAATCATCCTGTACGGAATTTCTGATAATATAATGTTACGTATAGATGAAACGTAAAAATATTCTTTTTTTTCCTTGTTCTTTTTTTTTCTTTTTCTTTCTTTTTTCTTTTTTTTTTTTCTTTTTTCTTCTTCCTTTCGAATACGAAACTTATCCCGGCCTCGAGACACAGGTTTTCCGAGACTGTGGCTTGTTCGGTCTCGGCGAAACTTGGCCGCTTTCGCGCGTTACACTTGGCGATTTTCGCGCGGGTAAGAAAGGTAAGAAAGAAAGAGAAAAAAGAGGAAAAAAAGAAAAAAAAAATATGCGCGACGCCATCCGCTCGAAACGAAATTTTTTCGAAAGCGAATATCGTTGTTCGGAAGTGAATTATGCCCACTTTCACAGGTTTTTACGATTCGCGCGTGGGGGTCGATCGAATGCTGGAACTCGCGTGATATCATTGTCGTGGGACGATTCGATTTTTCCAGAATCAAAGGGATCAAGGATTTTGCGCGTTCGAAAAAGTTTCGACGACGCTTGCATCGATTAATTGCATCGATTAAAAATGAATCGGTAACGATTGGACGAGATCGAATCGTAAATATCAACGAGAGTGCGTACTCGCTCGTGATTAAAGGAGGGGAGGGAAAGAGAGAGAGGGGGGGGGGATTGAATCTTGACACGAGTCATTTACACCTCTGCTATAAATGTAACGTAATCTTAATGCAGCGATTGCGAGTCGAATGTAAACGAGTACGAATGCGACGTGCACACCGTGCAACGATGCCTCGTTAATGACGCGATCATCGGAGGTGGGGGGAAAGAAAAACGACAAAAAAGAAAAAAAAGAAAGAAAAGAAAGAAGGAGGAGAAAAGAGAGAGAAAAAATGGCGCAACTCCGCGCCGGTCGAACGAGACGTTTCATTATCATTTTAATCGAGCACGTAACGGGTAACAGTAGTCCGAAGAGACGAGCAAAACAGTTGGATTTTCAGGAACGATTACACGGCCGAGCAAGGAGATATCTAAGAAAATTACGTGGTCGCGAAACGAGCAAGTTCACCGACTGAAACCGACTTGGAACCGAATAAGAAGAAGCCATACTCGTTTCCGAAGGATGTTTACCTCTCGAAAGCATCAGCTGAAGACGAAGATAAGCGGGAGCGGGAGGGAGGGGCGGGCTCCGGGAGCAACTCGGATGCGCTCGCGGAACGCAGAACGAGGAGGCTCAAAGAGGAGAATGGTTGGTCGGGGGGGTCAATAAACGCGAGGATCCTTGCTCGGCTGGCAAGGTCGCCACGAAGGTAAAAAATCAACCGTGCTCCTTGTCTCTCCCTCCCTCCCTCCCTCCCTCCCTCCCTTTCCTCTCTCATTTTTGCCCATTCCAACTCGCCGGGCCGACGACGCCTTCGAAAACTATCCTTCGGACGAAGAAAACCAGTCCCCCCTCTCCCTCCTTCCTCCCCCCCCTCTTCTCCCCCCTCCGCCTCCCCCCCAGTCCAGTTTGCTCTCCCTTAAGGCTGGTGCACAAGAGGCGCGAGCGAGCGAGCGGCCGATCGGTCGGTGAACGAGCGTGATCTCAAGGGTGAAACCGGTGTCAAACCACGATCCACGTTTATCGCGCTTTCTGGCCGCGCGCTGGTTTTTGGCGCGCGTGAGCGGACGAGCAGGCAGCCAACTCTGGTCGCCGGTTGGCGCCGGTGAAACTGTGCTCCGATTAGGAAATATCGGCGCGTAATTAGAAGCGGGCAAGTTTAAATCCGTTGCGCGCACACGCGAGCATTGGATGCGCCCTGAGTGTCAATAGAGCTGTCTGCCAAAGAGAAAATCGACGCACGCCTCTACGGTCAACTATTCGCGGACATACGTATATATATATATACATATATATACGTATATATATACCGTGCTCACGATACCATCGCGTCATTGACGATTTCACTATCGACGAACGCCTGGAAGGAACGGGAGAAATCCGTCTCGGAACCGATTCGAATACAAGGAGAAACGAAGATAAATCTAAGATTCTAAGTATATCTATCAACGAGCGGTCTCGACGATTTTTCGGGATATGATACACGTTTTGTAAACAGGTCTAAATTCTATGGTTTATATTTAGAGGAGGTGTGCAGGTGGTTGGAACGGGGAACACCTGAGATACGTTACCTTTGAATATTCCAAGATAAAATAAGCCGTTGTTCCGAAGCCGCCATATCGTTTCGTTCTGACGCACGCAACGCTAATAAAACGAGGTGTAATAAACGGACATGAAAATACGATCGATTTGCACAGATGCGAAATGTTTGAATTATATATTCGTCATCGACGAGTCAATCAATCAATAACGCTTTGTTCACGTGATCGCGTGAAATCAAAGTTCCTCCGCTATATACTATATATATATATATATATATACCGTATATTCGCAATTGCGTAGAAGAAGATAAGAAGCAAGAGAAAAGTAAACGCGAAACTTTACGAACGACGATTTCTTTGTTCGAGCTTGGTAAGAGTGACCCCCTTCGAAGGAGCATCGGCCACTCGTCGTATTTTCCAGCATTTCGATGGTGGAAATTAGGCCGTCTTACGTTCAGCAACGCGTACGCGTTCTAACTGTTCGCGGAAAGGTCAAGGGAACGGCGAAGGAGGAGGAGGAGGAGGAGGAGGCTAGCGCGTTCCGTTAATTTTAGAAACGATCGATCCGATGAATCGCTTCCGTAAACGACGACATCGAAGGACGAATAGCTTACTTTCTTTTCACCGAG